CAAAAGAAAATTTTACTTTAATGGAATACAAATGGCAAGCAAAAACGGCAAAAAAATTCAATAACCAACACTACTCATTAAGTGCAGACACGTTTCTTTTGACAAAATTAAGAAAAAATTTAAAATTGCTAATAAGTAGTATAGAGACGTAAATAATCTCTATGGAGCGACTATGAGCGAGATATTGCCTGAAGTTATTTTAATTCTCTAAGCTAATTTAATTTTTTCATTAAAAAAGCTTTTATTGTTAGTCGATTGGACATTATTTGAAACATTTTATTCTGATAAATTTGTTTTAAGTTTACACATTTGCCAAAACTCAAACTGTTAATTTGTTTAATTTTCATAATCCCAAAACCACGTTTTACAAAATTAAAAAATTGCTAAAAACTAGTTATAGAGACATCCGGCGTAAACAATTTCTGTGGAGCGAGTATGAGCGAGATATTGCCTGAAGTTGTCTTAATTCTCTAAACAATTTTAAGTTTTCTGTTTAAATTTAAAAGCCTTTATTGTGAGTCGATTGGACATTAATTAAAACATTTTACTCTATTAAATTTGTTTTATCTTTACATGTTTGCTAAAACTCAAACTATTAATTTTATTAATTTTCACAATCCCAAAGACACGTTTTTTTACAAAATTAAAAAACTTAAAATTGCTAATAACTAATTATAGAGACATCAGACGTAAATAATCTCTATGGAGCGCCTATGACCGAGCCATTGCCTGAAGTTGTTTTAATTCTCTAAAGTAATTTAAACTTTTTATTAAAATTTAAAAGCGTTTATTGTGAGTCGATTGGACACTAATTAAAACATTTTTACTCTATTAAATTTGTTTTATGTTTACATACAACTTGCTAAAACTATTAATTTATTAAATTTTACAATTCAAAATATTAAACAGGGAGTCAATTCAGTTCGTTTAAAAATGAGCGAAATAAGCAAAGCTTACTATGACTAGACAATGTACCATGAATGTCCACAGCAATCTGGATCAAGTTTAAGTAAATCATGGAAATTGCCGATATCCTTGCGGATTTCGGTCCTATTTATAATATCGTTGTAATGCGAATGAACCAATCGGATATAAACATGCGACAGTTGCCTCTAATTCAGTCGGAAAATATAAATCCTGTTTTTATCCCGCTTGTAGGATGCAGATTGCACCATTTATCAAATCTATTAACTGTCGGCGCTATATTTCATTTATCCGACGCTTAACACAGCAAAATTTAATTTTTCTATTTTATCTAGCGATTACCTCGCCAGCAAATTTTAATTAAGAGATTGAAGGATTAGATAATTTTGAAATTTTTACACCTTCATAAACCGGCATTTAGGTGTATTTGCTTTTCAAACAATGACACGTATTTATTACACCAGTGCGGTTATACATTATCATTCCATATTTAGTCGATTAATTATCTTTACGATATGTTTCCCTTGTGATAAATTACTGTCAATAAAGTTGCATTAAGTGCAGCTGTAATTTTATTTGGTCAAAAATCTGGAGAATTTTTGAGCTATGAGTCCCCATATGTGGCTTAAATGGAGAAATCTTGAGGGAGATTAACAAAACAGTGCCTGGACGGCCAACCCCTGAGTCTTATTATACATAAATTAGGCAAATTACCCGCTTGAAATTGGGGATTCTAATAATAAATAGTTTAGCCCCATTAAATAAACTCCTCGTTTTAATTGGCTTAATCCTCAATTTTGTGTAAATATTTTCGTATTATAATTAACGTTATAAATTTAAATAATTAGAGTAAATATTATTGAGGCGACCTTGCTCGTTAATTCCACGAGGCGTTATTTGCGCCCTTAAAACTCCGGAATTCGTTCTATTAACGAAAATTTATAATCTCATCATTGCGACTCGTTTATCGCCGATATAAAAGGTGGCTGTTTTATTGCTAGCATTTTCTTTTATTGGAAGTCAATAAGTCGGTCGAAATATGACAATTTATATGTTACCAGAGAGGAATAAAAATTGTACAAATATTTGTGGCTTCCTGCCTACATTAACAAACGCTTGATTTTAATTTTCATTATTATGGTAATTTAAATTAAATTGCGTATAATAAAACGCCGCCGTTGGGTGAGATCTAAACAAGAGGGAAAACCTGAAAAGGATCCCAAGTGCGCACCAGCTCATTAGCAAAATTGTATTTTAGTTGAATGTAAGAGCAGATGCTGCAGTCCTCAAAGACAACCCTTTTAACCTAACATAAACATCACACATGCTAGCATTTTTCCTTGAAACACACTGTATTTTATTAAAAGCGAGTCTCGTGTTTTAATTTTTGTCCGGCAGTCGAAACCATTTCTCCAAATTAAACCAAGAAGAATAAATCTTCTTCCTGTCACTGAAAATAATTGTCAAGCGTTGATCGATTTATCTGCAAATTCTCGCGAAACAATTACAACAATCGCGCCAATAAATTACTTTTTTGCGCCAATGTTAAAATTCCGTTTTCTGTAAATACCCGCTTTCGTTGCCACATCTATATATAATAATCTACGAGTAACTTGTTATCGACATTCGAATACACGAATTTCCGCATGGCTTTTCGCTTTGAAATTTCCCTGGAAATTGCCTCCAAATATTCATCGAATAAATGAAGTTTGCAACTTAGAAATGCACGCAATAACGGAAATTTGTCACCAAAAACAATTTACCAGAGTAATTGATTTTTCAAAAATTGCTTAATTGAACTTGAAATAACAAGCCAAATTCGATTAAACGACCCTTACGTAAGTGATCGAGATATCCACGTTGCGGTTTCACCACAGGTGAAATGACCCAAGTGTTGGTTTAGCAATCAAGGGTGGCTTTGATACGGGCCCTTTTCCCAAGGCAACCACAATTAATGAAAAAACAAACACTACAATAAATATACGCAATAATCACTCATGAATTTTAAAGAAAACTTTACATTGAAATAAACTGAAAACAAGCAGAAAAATGGATCTGGTAACGTCGTTCAAAAACAAATTTTTAAGTAGTTTTATTGACCTCTGTCAATACAATGATAACAGCTGTCAATCAATTTTTTTTTCCTCTTTTGTCTTATTTTTTTTAATTTTCTTCCAGACCTCTCGGTGTTGCGAATGAAATAACACACTATTTAACCACTACGAGTTTCATCCTCAAAGTGGTTATCCTCACGAGAGAATAAAACCTAATAAAATTAAAATTAATTCTCACCTGAGGATGAACACTTTGTGATCGAAACGCGTAGTGATTAAATAAACGTTTGGTGTTTGAGTTAGATAGTGTGTCATTTGTCAATGTAAAGATAATTTTTATGTACACTTTATATCGGTTTACAAATTGTTACAAATTTAAACCAGAGATAGAATATTCGGTATTAGGACAAATGTTTCCTATGAATTTGTATTGAAAAATGCTTATAATATGAATTTTTTCCATATTTCCGAAACCGTTTTAGATAAAATTACAAAATTTGGTACAGATGATAACATTTATGCACCTAAACAAATTCAAAGATAAAATGTTGACATTTTTAATTAGGGGCTTCCTAAACTGGGTAGGTTTAGAGTAAAAAGTAATTTTTTTGACTATCGTTTCTTGCCACTTTCAGCAACAAAATTTTATAATTTTTTATCAAAAAAGTCTTTTGCGTTTTTCCGATACAATTTATCGATTTTGAGTAAAACCAGTTTTAAAATCTAAGTTACAGACCATAACCAGCATAAAATTAAATTCATTTTACCGTTTAAGACGCCCCTGATTAAGAATTTCGACATTTCATCTTTGAATTCGTTTAGGTGTATAAAGGTTATGAGCTGTACCAAATTTTGTAATTTTATCTATTCTGAAATATTGGGAAAAATTCTTTAAGAAACGCACCCTTTTTACGGAATGTAGCTTCCTTTTTCGAAACATGTTTATAAGAAACTTTTGTCTTAAAATTGAATATTCTATTATGTATTTAAATTTGTAACAATAAAAACGGAACATCCTGTATATTGTATATATTGTATGTATTGTATATATTACCAGTAGAGTAATTTAAATTTAGAAAACTGGTAATGCTATGTCAAACAAACAACATTGTAATACATTTTATAGGATAGAATCAATTAAAGTAACATTTTTACTTTTTTATGAATAAATATTTTTTTCATTTGTAAACCTTAAGAGGCAGATGTTATTTGGACCAAACAGGAAAACTTTATTAAATAAAAATGATTTTGTTATGTTAAATGTTAAAAATAAAATTTTAGTGTTTTTGGAAAAAAACGAGTTTTGATTATTATTTCTATATTTGTCTATAGTTTTATAACACTTAATTAAATCACTAAATGATCAAATAACTTAAAAAAACTGTAAGGAAGCTTACACTTATTTGAAAAAGTTGTAGAACAAAAATCGAAAATAATGTTTAAAAATTAAATATGAAAATTTTCCAAAAAAGCCATCATTTTTTTTCTTTAGCATGTATTTGGACTTTTTTTTAATTATTTGTTTCTGCTGCCTTATACCCAAAACTTATTTTATTTCAAACAAGCAATGTGTTTTTTTCTGTACTTAAGTTTTATTTAACTTTATCATTATTGACTTTATATGCTATATATTTTTTCAAGTAATAAAATTAGGCAATTTTTGAAACACTTTGTTACATGAAGAGATACTGCCTCCTTTGCCTTCCCCCCCGCCCCCCCCTTAAATGCTACTATTGCGGGTGATATAGTATTTAAAATTATATTAACTTATTGTTATTGTCTCAGATAAGTAAAATAAAGTTATAATTATTAAACAAAAAAGTTTTAATGTTTGATTAACACATTCGTATGGTGGGGCAATGTCGGAATAACAAAAGTGTTTATAATTTTTTTGTTTTCGGTTAAATTTGTTTACGACTTTTAATGTCATAAATTCGTTTGGTGTGAAATCCGTTTCATCTTGTCGTAGCAAAGTGAGCTATGGTGATTCTTGTCCCATTAAATATTTACGTTCTGTTCCAGCCCTTCTTGTGATAGTCGGCGCTGCGGTTTATCCTGTGGGATGGGACAATCGTGAAGTGCGCGAGTCCTGTGGAAATTCCAGCCACATATACCGACTAGGTTAGTATATCGTTTCAATCCCAGTGTTTTCAAGGAGCAATTACCCTTCTGATAACCCGCATATTAAGTAATAAGATCCATGCGGGACCGGCTCTTAACCCAGAAACACTATCAGAGATGTCTGCCATGTTGGCTTCCTATTTGATGGGGTTTGAGTCAACATTATAAAGGGAACACCTGTTTTAGCTCAGAATTGAAAAAATGATCGGAAAGGCGTAAAAATTAAAGCAGCTTAAAATCACCAATGTTTCATTTACGCTACATCTGCATAATAGACAGCTGAAAAGATTTCCATTTGCCATTTTCCGCAATGTTATTATAACAAAAAGTGCTTCAAAAGATTGAGGTCAAGCTCGATACAAAAAATCTAATAATAATAATAATATAATTTATAATATAATATGATATAATAATTTCATTCGCTTGAAATATATAATTTCATGCGAATTGAATGTGGGTTTTCAGGCTCGCATAATTACAAAGTTTATCTCAGGTATCTTATTCTCTCTTGACATTGAATTTTCAAGCATATAAGGGTATAAATTATCTACAATATATAATTCATAGTTTGAACATGAAACGCTTTAAATCCCAATTTAGCCCTAGGCTGAAACTACTTTAACATTTCTAGTTTCCTGTAATACATTTAGGAATTAATTCATTAAGTGATCTTCACGAATTTGTGTTTTGGAACAGTAGGATTGTGCCGAAATTGCTCCCACGAATTGCTGCTTTACATCACACCAAAACCCAAATATTTTCCTAAAGCCAAATTTGCTTTCAGGCTGATCTGAAACTTTGAATTACTTACTATAGGTGCATGGCATTAACATTGTATCAGATTTAAATCTAAATCGAATTTTACGACCATATAAAATGTTCAGAGCGACGATAAACCCAAACTCAGCATTAACGCGGGCACTTACAGCAACGCTTTTAAAATAATGGTCAATATGTATCTATTAGGGCAAGAGTTGAGAATCTGATCGCCAACATCCAAGCCACCAAAGAATTGCTACTTGCAACGGTGTATGGTTTTATAAACTTTTATATTACAGTGAACGGCAAAATTATGAAATATAATTTTATTAAAACTGAAAATATTTGCAAGAATGCAACAAAAAAAAAGTAAAACCAAAAAAGTAAAATAATATCAACAACAAATAAACTTGCAATTTTAAATCAAGTTGAGAAATGACCTGTTCGAGCATTTTTGTCAAAATAGTATAATAGAACACAAGGTAGAGAAGACATTTTTTACAGCGGAGCTGTTTATTTCCAGAGATGCGTAGCAAAAAGAAAATAATAAATGCGAGACTATAAACTCTGCCGTGTTTTATACAGGGTATCCCACGAATAATAATGAGCCTGAAATTTTTTTTGAAGCAACCAACATTACAACGTGGATATTAAAATATTTTGTTTTAATTAGTTAAACATAGTAATCGTATTTTTATTTTTGACAAATTTCTATCAGTCAAACCGACTACTCCAAAACTGAAAAATAAGAATCTTGTTGATCTTTTCAGCAAAATTTTAGTAATTCTCACCAAATTTTGAAAGGTTTAACTTTTTATAAATTAAAGTTGAAGTGTGCTGTTTGGTCACTATGTTTAATTTATTAAAACTAGGTAAATATGTTGGTTGCTTCCAAAATTTTTTCAGGCACATTATTACTCGTGGAACACTCTGTATAACATTTTTTCCACTACTAGCACATTTATTACCCAGAAATACAACGATGAACAATATAACCCTACTTAATGGACATGTTGCCTCAGACGTAACATGTCGTAATTCACAACTACTATTTTTGTTAATTCACTATTATCTGCAGTAATTAATTACTTACCTGAGTCATTAACTTAATTTAGAAGTAGGTATTATTTTCTTATCATAAATGAAGCTATGTCATTCTTGTACTTCTACAACTATTAAAGGAATTTTCTAACTTCGTAATATGGAATATTTGTTAAAATAACAAAGAAACTGCAAAAAAAAAGAAAAAAGTGTTAACATTTGCCTCACTACCTATAGTATTTTAACAAGAAATAAACCCATTTGTTTTGACAGTTTTGACACATAGAGTTGGAGTTATTCTAATGTTTTCTATGAGAAAATTTATTATTTTTTTATTTGATTTTGCATTAATTTTATCTCGTACTTGTTAGTACTTGTGATAGTAATAGTTTTCAATATAATATTCCAGAAATATTTGTATCAATGTAATACCCTTCAACATCGGCATTTACCCACCTCTAATACATTATAATCCTTGGTCCATAATGAAAATGGTTATTGACTACTAGGAGAGAAAAACAACGTCACAACCTCTCGACAAACTAAATAATGGTATCTTTTACATCTAGAGGTAAAAAAAATCAGTTTTAATAAATAATATTCCATAATTTTGCCGTTCACTGTGTAATATTTGCCACTTGCTGGTTATGAAAAAGTGTAAAAAATCTGAAAATATCCGATTTTCGTTTAATTTTTGCCCTCGGGTGTGCATTCGCAGCATATGTCAGAAGACAAATGTCTTTGTTGGAAACCCATTTTCGTCATTGTGTTTCCTTCGGTAGCTCGGAGTCGAGCGTAATGCTCACATTGTTCGTTGTAAACAAAAAATTTTCCAAGTAGCATTCCTTTGTTTCTGTGCAAATAGTTTGTTGAGAAAGGTTGTAATTTAGAGCGGGTTACGTTGAAAATTTAATGAAAGAGCACAAATTTGTTAATAAGAGTCTTATTTTGAAAAGGCGGTTTGTTGAAGTCATCATTTGCTCCTTCGCTTCTTATTGAATTTATGTCAAGTTGCACCAATGAATTTAAAAGTACTGTTGCCAAGACATCGATTCAATCACAGTATGCAAAAGACGAGCAATAATCAATAACTGAATATGCACTTGACTGAATTATAGTCTCGTCATTTCCCAAAAGCAAATTTGCGCTTCGTGCAATTTCACCGAAATTAGAATTCATTACACGACTTCTCAAAACTTGTTACTATTTACACTTAATTACGTTCGGGTCGTGAGTTTCCCACTTTTCGATTTTAATAAAAATCCCTTTGAAATGCGAAAGCAGAAAACTCAACTATTTACGGCCTCCTCCTGTTAATAAATTCGTTGAGTATATATACCGAACTTTGACACTCTCCTCGAAATCCTCCGACTGACCAAAAATTTATAAGGAAACTTCCCCAATTTTGGAAGTTACGTATCAAAATGAGGCCGTCATAAATCCCCCACCTCTTGAACATAAAACAAATTAATAAATAAATTGTTAAGTGTTGTGTGAAAAAACTTGCAAAGTTGTTGGCTGAATTTATACAAAATTTGAAAGGATAAAGCACTTTAGCGTGAGGAAAATTAAATGGTTTTCGTAAATGAAAAGTGACTAAAGTTGATCGAGGAGTTTTAAATACAAATTCCGGATAAAACCGGCCAAACTCCGAACACGTATACGATGCGTGAAAAGCTATTGTCCACTAGCATAAAGTTTGCACAAATGGAAATTTAAAATTTTGGAGTAAAAAATTAATTTCAAGTGATAAAATAAATCCCCTAATCCTTTTATTAGTGTCCATTCCCACATTTAACAGGTGCAATTATAACCCCATTAAGAAATTAATCCGCAAAAATATCCTCGCCCCATTTCCTCCCTTACAAACATGCGGAATTTATCAATTCCGGCAAAGATATTGTTTTCATACTTGTAACTCGGAAAACTCATTCTTAAGATGATCGATCTCATCTATCGTCGTCCGCAAATTATTGCCTGTCAGTTACTTACTGAAGGGTCAATATTCATCTTCCCGATCGGTAATTCTCCTTACTTTCACCGTTCTCACTCAATTTGCTGTTTCGGCACTAAATAAATTCTCTAACTTGGCAATTATTTGTTTCAGGGACCTGTGAATTGTCGTGGTCAGTTTATTTGTTAGCAAGCGCCGTTCTTCTATTACTTCTCTGTTTCTGTTTGAGTTTTTGCGCGTCTCGGGTAAGTAGAACATTTCGCAATTGCGATTCAAATCTATTTTCGCAACAAACACACTTTCACCTAACACGCTTTAACTTTTAAACATTTAAAACAAACTGAAAATATTCTCTATTGTTGAAAAAAAGCAAAATAGTATACAGAGTGTTTCACACAACTTTACGCATCCAAATATACAAAAGTCACAAAAGACTGGATACAAAAAATACACATTTAATTATTTGGAAACCCATGACAGTAGTTGTCAAACTAATCACTGTTTCATTAATAGTCATAAATTGCAGTTGTTCAGAAACAATTATCATTTATTCTATCAATATGATTTTTTTATGCCATTTCATTGAAATTAGCATAACAGTAGGTCATGATACACAATCACCGTGCTTTATATGTGAAAAAAGATTTACTTATTAAGAAACTAAATTTTCAGAGAGTTTTTTCCATAAAATTTAACACCCTGTTTGATCCTTTTGTAGGTGTAGTTTTAACACCAAAAACATACAATATTTGCTTTGGGGAAAATAATTTGGCTTTATTCAAATTGGTATACTGGGTCAGTCACAGGAGAGTTACTTTGAAAATTAATTAGTTTGCAACCAAAAATACCTTTAGCGTATGTAATTGGATATAATATTTTATTTAAATAATTAAATTAATTCGGTAATCAATGTGAGCTGGATGAAAATGAGTGAAGTCGTCAAAATGACAAGTAATTGTCTACTACTTCAAAGACTATAGGTAAATTTGTTTTCTGGGCCAGTAGCAGTCCTCTGACGGGGTCTTTCATTGGGGACCAATCTTGTCGTAACTTGGCTTCCAGTTTTCTAAATGTTTCACAAACCGGATGCATTCGATTTGGATACCTCTCCAAGTACCGAGCTACTGCCACAGGAGCATTTTTCTTGCATTTTCTATGGATTAAGAGCATGCCCCCTTTTTCGTTATTTGTGTAATAATACATTGACTGTTACTTTTTAAATGTCAAATTAAAAAAGATATGCAAAGTTTTCTTGAATTCAATTTTATAATTTAAAAAAATGAGGAAGCTAGACGCTATGTGAATTGTATAATGGGTTGCTGCCCAAATTATTTCAGAAGTAACTCTCCTGTGACTAACCCTATATTTGATTCCATTAAACTAAAATGGGAACAAGAAAAAGTAATTGATCATGTTTTCAAACCTATCTTAGCGTGTATTCTAAATCTGGGGTTTTGAAGATAATTATAATTAATTATAATTTGAGAAAAGCAACGAAAACAGTGTTCAAATAAAAGCAAAAACCCCATTTGCTGTTATACCAGGGACATGCCCAGGGCTACAAACATAAATATGAAATTCCCTAGCCAACCATTATGCCAATTTCAATGAAATCTACTAGATCTATATTAATCAACTAACTAAAAACGTTGTAATTTTTGAAATGGTGAACAAACAAGAGAAGTTTATCCAATTTTTCAAAATTTGTAATAAAGTTCATATCGGAATATGTATTATTACATTACATCTTACAGGCGCAGGCCTCGTAAAATTGTGTGAAACACCCTGTATTAAAAGCAAGTTTTGTGAAACGAGTTCAAGTTTATGAAACGAGCAGAAAAGCGCGAGTTTTATAAAAAACGAGTTCCTACAAATGACTTCTAAAAATCAATTTTTCAAAATTAAGAAACTTCTGCTCTTATAATGTTGTGGTTGGTAAGAAATGTCACAAAGTTTGAAAGTTCAATTTCCGAAGTGTCAAGTCTCAAGTATTTTTCAAAATTTTGTTGGATGAATGAATACAGCAAATATTTCATGCACACCACCTGGAAACAGAGGAATCGACCAAAATGCCACTTAAAATCACTAACTTTTAGAAAGCAAATTGTACAAGTCTATTTGAGCATCCGAATCGGTGTTGAAATGGCTCATTAAAGGCAAATATAGATATTAGCTTTCTTTCAAACGCAAAATAGAAAAAAAATTGCACGTTTCGATAACACAGTTTGTGCAGAGGTCAGTGAATTGTGCGTTTTTATCCTTTATTATTTTTCTGCCGTTTTTGTGGATGAAACAAATCTTGACGGGCGATGTTTCCGGTTGTCGAGCATAAAGATGAAAAAAGTAAAATCCACCTGTCCGGCTATAGATTTAAAGACAATTTCCTTTCCGGAAACGATCAAATTTAGTTTTAAGTCTTGAGGGAAAAGTCCGACCTGGAGAGCACTCCGAGTACCGGAAGTGATGATCTTCCTGACCCCAGTTCTCATTCCCACTCTGGAAGTAATCGTGTGTCGATGGTGGAGGGATAGAAGCCGTAAACGATATTTTCTAGGAAATAGACAACCTTCGGCTACACTCGCTTTCGTTAAAATATCGCTCTAACCCTATCTATTGTTAGTCTTGTTATATCGTCTCGAATTTACGGTTACGTACACAGAAGGCAAATCCCGGAATCTCTTTATTTATGTTAAAATTGAAATTATGGTATCCGGAGTTGAGACCGGAGGGTGACTTCCGTTTGCCCGGAAAAAGGCGCTTTTGAGCATAACAAGGCTTTAATTACTAGGTGGAATCGAAATGATTTTTTTATAAGACACGTCCCTAATTCGGCGAAATTTCATTTCGACTAAGTATTCCCTCGTGACGGTTATAAGGCCTGACGGGAAGAGTGGAACGCTTAACTTAAGTGCTCTTAATTGAATCTATTACTTACGTCTATTTGCTTAAGTGTGGGAAGACGTTTACGGTACGTCAACGTACCATAAATTCCCGAATTTAAATAAACGGAAACGAAAAATGACAACTGATGCTGAATTCATAAAACGCATCATAAATCGAAAATAAACATTAACTTCAAAGAGATAGTTTCGACTTTCCTTTCACGGAGATTGCATTATTCAAATTCAGATCGTGTAATCGTATGTAATGAATTTCGATGTTTTTCCTAAATAAACATGTTTGTAGCGCATTTCCAATCTTATTTTTATTTACGAAAATTGTATTGTAATAATAAAATGTAAATACAAAAAACAGCATTCTTTTATTTCCATCAAAAATACGACCTATAAGTGGGTTGCTTTGTTTCGACGTTCTGTCAGATCGTACACACTCGTAAATCCACAGTTTATGTGGAAAAGTTTAAATTCAAATCACAACTCGCGAGCCGAATTTTTGTAAACATTGTAAATTTTTTGCAGAATTGTGTCAAATCCAGCGAAACAGTAAAAAAAAATATTTGCTTTATATCAACCTACTTTTATAGTTTTTCAGTCTAGTTCCCAAGTTTCTACATTTGCGTTATAACGCAAACAGAACAGTAATAAAAAAATTAACGTTTACATTTTTAAGTTTTAGTTTTAAGTTTTTCAATTTTTTTATTGTGCCTTTTGGTGATTTTAAGTTTTTAAATTTAACCTTCTTACATTATTGGTAATTTTACCGGTATTGTCATTTATTTACTTACGTACTTATGTGTCACATGCATACGTTTGCGTTCTTATGTGTGCGTGCTTGTATTTGTTTGTATTTGTATGTTCGTACCACCTGAGGTAATATTTCAAGATTCTGGAATTTAATTTTTTGAATGTTCATGTTCTTACGTTTATGTTTTGTTCTGATTTTTTTTCCATATATGTTCTTAAATTCCTACGTTTTTACGGTTACGTGGTAAGTAACCTCACTAATCTTACGTCGTTGCGTTTATACATTTATGAATGTAATTCTTCAAATTCTTTAAATTTTTGTACTTTCATATCTTATGTTGCTAAGTTGTTCGTGGTTTGTTTATAAATTTGCGTTCTTATGTGTACGTAGTTAGGCATATTTTTCCGTCTCAAAGTTTTACATTCTTACATTTTTAGGTTCCTATAACATCATTATTATTGTTATTTGTTCGGGGGGTTTTAATTTTTTTTTTGATTTTGTAAATTGCGGCAAAACTGTATCTCAAACTTATAATGTTTTTAAGTATACATAACATGTAAAATGTTCCGAGAAATCATGGAGTTAATATTTTAGATATTTTTAACTTTATCAGCAATTTTCTCGATAACTGTTTAACGTTGGACAATTATCTTTCTTTATATCATAAAAAATGAAATTTGCTTTCCAACGGTACCAAACAAAAAGGATTAAAGTGAATAATTCCAAAGTTATTAGCAATAAACCGCTCCGGTTACCGAAAATTGGCCAAAATTTCGATAAAAATCGACAAATCAATTACTTTAAAATTGAACTACAATTGAAGTACAAAAACGCTGTAAAAATGCTTGAAATAAATTTTTGAAAAATTTTGTGTAAGTCTGTATGAATATATTGAATAAAAACATTAAGACTGTCAGCGGCGGTGGTGGCTCAGCGGCATAAGTTCCCGCTTTAAGTCCGGGTTTGATCTCCGGTAAAAATCAGCAATTTTTCACAAATTTAAATTCAAATACTATCTCCAATAAGCAATAAAATTGGACGGGCGCATAAGAACGCGAGCTTTAAAACATGTGCACATGTTTTAATAAGTATAATAAGAGAGAGAGAGAGTGCATAAGAGCACATAAAATGGAGAATAAAAAAGAGAGAGAGCATAAACACAAATGAGTGAACAAGAGACAAGTAAGGGAAAGCTCAAAAAAAGCATAAGAGCTTTTTTCTATTTCGGTGTCACATTGAGCATTTTGTGCGACTGTTTTCAATTACACAAAATGTTCTTTGTGACACTGTTTTTAGAAACATTTTATGCTACATTTTTACCATGACTGATTGTGCATACTATGAGGAGAAATTCTTGTAGATTAACATATTTCATCGAAACTAATGCAATTTGAGCTATTTTCAAACAGTTTGGCTACCGCATACGTCAAATGACAAAAACTATCAAGTAAAATAATAAATTTAATTTAAAAATTACTCAATAGAAAAAATAGTATAAAAAAACGAGTTATGATACCGGAATGAGTGCTCAAATTTTTTTACCTAGGTAAACCCTCCCTAAATTCTAACTTTGGCTACGCTACTGTTACAATAACTATACCAAGTAGTATATTAATAGTAATATGTCAAATCCTAACCTTTAAAAGTCATTTTTAACTCCAATAACATTTTAATAGATAGAAAATAATAGACTTTAGTTCCAACTCTTAGACGAGCAGTAAATTAAGCAGAATGGTCAATGAACCTGTCAAATGTCAAAAATGCAATTTTTTTGAAGTTTGATTGCATAGCCTACTACGTCAATATATCAACTTTATTAAAAAATAGATATGTATTTCCCAACTCGGTTGTAATATACTATTACATTATAACATTTTTATACACGTACTATAGTTTTATAGTCTACGATTTCTAGTTCTTTTTACATTTATGATACTCTTACTTGTGTTGACTATGAGACAAAATTTAGCTTTAGCTCATCGGTTCAAGCAAGAATTTCCTATTATTTTTAATAAAAATTAACGAATTTTTGTCGATTTTTTTAAAGAAAAAATTTAAAATTGAAATAACTGCCATTATCCAAAAGGTTTAAGAATAAAATCGCGATAAAATAAGGACCAACACAAATGGCTGAATCTTCGATACGGTCGTCAATCCGGCAAACAAGCCGAAAGAAGACCCCTGTAACAAAAGTATCTCCAACTCTCCCAAGAATTCCTTTCGAATCCCATTCATAATTCAAGCGACGGCGTGTCCGCATTGAGAATCCTTCCAAGAGTCCCTTCGTGAATTTAGTATTTGTCCTGTTTCCAGGTGAAAGCCGGCTCGTTTCGGATCTGAATGCACATCATCGGGACTGCGACCATCACCAACAACGAGTTGCGTCCCGCCTGGCAAACCCGACGGCCGCCGTCGTCGTCCAGGAATTTGTGCAATCGGCAACTGTGAACGTGCCGTTTTCACCCATCGTCAACGACGTGAACGACACCAACGTCGTCGTCAAAGACCTACCCAAGTGTCTGATGAAATCAGATGTTTTCGATTAAATCGCTCGGCCGTTTCTTTCATAATCCCATTTAATTAAATGCAAGGGAAAGGAAGCCACTGGTTCGGTGTTTTGCATGTCGGAAGCTTCTTTCGAACGATAGCCAAAACAAAACAAAGACTTTTGCGATTCTATCGGCGGAGATTTAGTGGTGAAGAGGAAATGCTTTGATTTATCGCACCGAAATGCAAAATTCTAAACAATGAAACTTTGAGATTTTCAATATTTTATTCCTCGCTGAAGTAATAACAGCGTTGAATTAAATGATCGCTAAGTACAGTCTCTCTGCATCTGAAAAATCCATGCACGTTTTAAATTTTCACGCTTTCAAGTTGAATGTTTTCAGTGTGCATCGTATTGCAATTATAATTTGTTTGGATTTTTGCCTTTCCTTTGCAATTCGTTTGTTTTGTTGATTGTGTCGTAAATACGTAAATGAGAATTCTAAAAAGTGAACAAATCAACGATCAACGGCTTAAATCGAGTGAATTTGTTGAACTCAAGTGCAAACTGACATCATCATATCCAAAGACTGAAGTGTTAAATTTGTTACGATTTCAGAAAACTAGTTTCAATTAAAAAATCACTCATGTGTTAGATTTCAAGATTCTATTGACTATTATTTGTATCATAATTAAGAATAAATTTTTAAAATTTCTCGTGTTTTTTCTCATAAATTAATTGAAGAAACCTTCGCAAGAATTTTAATAAAAATAAATATTTTGTTTCTAGATTAAATAATATCCTTAAAGAAGTTTTCAGAACATTTATTTAACACCACCCTCACTTCTGAAACTTAAACCATTAATTTTAGTATAAATACTGGTAAAATCAACAGTTCGGATTACACTACGCTTAAGCAAACTTTTAATCAATACAAGGCCAAAAAATTTCACATCACAAAAACTTTTTTGTCGGTGATTGCCACCTTTAATTCTCTTTCCCGTTCGAAGAACTAAAACATAAAAAAACATGTTTTTTCACCAACAACTGACAGCACCATTTGTTTTCTTTAACATAAAACTTTGAGTAATAAATTGCCGGCGTCATTATACAGAGTGGGACCCAAGTTTGCAAAGAGCACACACAAATTTTAAACAAAAGAGGGAATCCAGCCGATTTATTAAAAAAAAAACTAGTAAAGCAGAAATTACGAAAAAAACGCTGCCAGTAGCCCAGCGCCTCCACCATTCAGGTGGTCGCAAATAACTTTGAAAAATAAGAATTGAAATAAGTTAATTTATGTTTATTGATAAATGTTCCATTTTTGGTTCGATAATTTTTGCAGCCATCTGTCACTTTGGCACGTGTAGCAAAGTCATTATTCATGGTAAGCAGCGACTTCATCAGAAATACATTATAGTACGCGTTGTGAAATAGGAATGTGTTTTATATCCTTATATCTCTGTGGTATTTTCGCGGAAAAATTGGATCGGTGTTGAATGATTCAGTCGATTTTCATCGCGCCCTTGAAATAATTCCGATAATATGAATTTATCGTCATTCTCTGCGATTTAATGGAGAATAGAGATTGTGTTGCAAATAACCACCAGCGGCGACAACGCAATTAAATGATAACATGGATTGTGACCGGGATTAACCGAACAACAGGGATAAAATACCGGCTATAATGGGACCGCACCGATTGCTATATGCCGCTTTATCTATTATTGTCTGTTTTAAAAACTTATTCAAATTTTATAATGCAATCTCCCACATGCGGCCCATACTCGCTCGTATATTATCGGGATTCTTCAGCGAGCTCTTTACACCCAAACGACCCCGAACGGTTTATGGCATGTTTGAAGGGCTACGAACCTCGACGCTTGACCTCTTAACTCACATTTTCAATTTTTGAACGGAAAAAAACGCAGCACATTTGCCGTATTTAACAGTTTTTATTCAACTTTTTAAACTATAACAACCATTTGTAAAATATTTTGTCAAAAGCATAAAACGTTGATAATTTACACTAGATTAAAATATAACTAAATTTTAAAATAAAAAAATATATATTATTGCAAATTAATAAGCAATAATATGAGTTTATTCAATCCTCTATGTTAAAATTGAATATTATCTACTCTTTTCTTCATGTTAAAATAAAATTTTGTATTATACACGACGATAAAATTTTCATTATCTTTTCGAGCATATCAGCGTCTCGGCTGACGCCTCGACGCTAAATTGCTCTCAAAGATTAAATTCAATTTTATCGTCTTGTAGAATAATAGTTATTTATAATAATATAATAGCGTCAGCCGAGACGCTAATATGCTCGAAAAGATAATGAAAATTTTATCGTCGTGTATAATATAAGATTTTATTCAATCCTCACTAATTTTGTAGTAAATTTGGTCTATATTTATAAAAAGTAAAATTCAACAATGAAATCTAATGTCAAAGATCGTTAGCAACTAACAACTGCAGATATACAACAATGGATGTATTTTTTTATCATCTAGACGATAAAATTTCACTTTAACATGAAGAAAAGAATAGATAAAATTCAATTTTAACACAGAGGATTGAATAAATACTATATATTATTGTGTTTTTATCGTTTACTGTTTTTTTTCCGTTTTTTTTAAACAGAGAGTTGTACTTTCACTAAATATTATTAAATACTTCATAAACAATCTGAAAAGCGAAAAAACGTTTTATCTAAATTTATAGCAATAATGAAATTAGTTATATATAAGATGAAGTATGGATTCCAAACCCTTCTAAATGTAAACATTGCAGTGCATATTTTTATTATGATGTTAAATAAACCAAACAAAAATTATGTTTTTTTAATTACACACATCAAAACGAATTTTGTGCCTGAAGTAAAGGAATGCAGTTTCGAAAAAAAAATATAAAAAGAGCCTGCTTTTGTAACCAATACCTAAGAAAATCTATAATTTAACTTAAACTTAACTTAAAAATTGTAACTATTAGTTATAAAATAGTGAAAAGAATAAGTAAACATTTATCTGCAAAAGTGACTACTTTTGTGACTAAATGTCACAAGTAAAAGGTTTACGTTTTGGCTATGGAGTAAAAATTTTATTTTTGCGCCGAAGCATTGTTACATTGTATTTCCCAGTAGTAACTTTTTACTTTTTTCTTAAATATATAAACATTTGCATAACATTTGATTTCCTCTGATAATTTATTAAAAAATTTGCAACAGTTATAATTTATACTTTTCTGAAATAATGCATTTCTATGTTTATTTGGAATTTGAAATGTTCTTTACATCTGGGACATCGGGCCGTATCCCGAAATATTTACTTAAAGCATGAGTATAAAGTAAAAGCAAATACTTGAAGTATAAAGTAAAACCATTTGATAAGTATGAATAAGCTCTTACTTTTACTTCGGAGTAAATGCTTTGATTTTTCGGAGAATATGCTCTAAAAATAAATCAACCTAGTACTAGTAGGCTAGTAATCTAGTAATCTAGTAGGATTTTTTTGTCTGCGAAAAGCAGTCGTAATCCAAGGTTCTAAACCATATCCACTATTTCCTAACAAAATGGCGTTATAGTTTTTTCTATTAAAAAGTTCTCGAATTTGTGAATTTTTCCATATTCGGGAATTATGAACTGAACCCGGTTATAAAGCATCAATGCTAGTAAACATTACTTTGACATCACATATTGCCTGCACATTTAAACTAGTAAAGTTTTTCTTTGGGAAGTGATATTTGGCATGCCATTGTTGTTTTGCTTCATTAATAGAAATATTTGTAGAAGGAAAGTGAATCCACTCATCAACTTTTTCTAAAATCCTATTCATCACTTCAGTTATCGTTTTAGAAACTGTGCTTTGATGAACATCAAGTTCTTCTCCAATTCCTGTTTGGAATCGAGGATCTGCCAAGTACCGGAGAAATATTCTCATTTTTTTTTTCAGGCAAAAAATACCTAGCCAAAACATGAATATTTTCTCGTTCAAACTGATATAAAGTTTTGAATTCTTTTCCTAAGAGTTTGCGACGTTGTTTGTACGTTTTTCTTACCCTTAATTGCACAACATCCACCATCGTTTCGACTTTGATGTGTTACTTTTAAAAAGTGATGCTCGCACTGATTTGCATCAACAATTTTGAAGTAAATGCTCAATGAAAAAAGCATTTACTTTGTTTTATTCATTTTGTTTTGAGTAAAACCTCGACCTTAAAGCAAATACTCGCCTAAGATGCTTTTACTTTTAGTAAAAGCTTACACTTACATTTTTATTCATACATTTTAGAGCATTTACTTGCAAAATTTGAAGTAAAAGCATTTACTCAATTTTATTCATACGGTTCATCGACTTGCTTAATTTGACATTGAAAAGTAACAATAAAAAAAGTTATGATCAACCATGAGGAAAATGTAAAATGTACAGCCTTTTTTCTTTAGAAAAAAAAAATCCAATAAATTTAGAAAAAATTAAAACTTTTTTTTTTTTAAATAGAAACAAAAAATATCGATCACTTTAAAAGAGGTGTTCAGAGTTATTTAAGTCGCGCTTGTGAAGAGCAGTTGTTTTTGGTTTTTTTTTGAAAAAAACTTTTTGCAATTTCTCGAATTATCTCCGAAAAGAAAAACAAGTATTATTTTACTTTTATATTTTTACTTTTTTTCATTGTCACTATCGAATATCAAATTAATCATTTTATGCGTCAGTTAAGAGTCAGCCTGTATTTTTATTACATTTGCTTTGACAATAAAATTCAGAATCTATAAGGTAAACATTCTTGTGAATATGCTCCCATTTTTTTAATTTTTTCTAATAAGCATGCATCATATTTTTTAAGAACGTCTTGCCACTCATAGCTTTAATCCTTAAGCCTTCTTCAGATTTTCAATTACTTTTTGGTGATTTTCGACTTTATTGTTTCGTAAAAAAACAAAAAACTATGCCAATTTTTTTTGGTTAGTAATTAAAAACTTCGGAAATTGTTAAATATCTACTAAATAATTTTGATACAATCTGAACTTTTCAGATAATAAACCTTTTCTCATTTTTTCTAACTTATTAAAACTCTGTAAACATCTTCAAATTTATTCGAAAAATGACTAAATGAGATGTGAGTACGTTTTTTTTTTATTATTAACGTTTGATAAGAACGGAACCGTTAGGCTATTTAGCTTTCAAAGTCAAGTAGTTAACAAAGACACAGACTTTCTGTATGAAAACAGAATTTGTTTACATTGTGACAGCAACTTTGAGATCAAAAAAATCCCATTGAATTGAATTTTAGTCCCGGCCATATTTTAGAGACATAGCCCCCCTCAACGCTTAATATTATCTTTACTAAACAATTATAAAAAACATTTACAGGTGTCCCAAAAACAAACCGCTTTACGTCAACCAGTCATAGAAAATGTAATTCTAAGAAAAAAAGTTGAAATATCTTCGTTCGTTAAAGAGTTACAGCTTAGCAAAGAGGGGCGCGAGTTCTGAACATCCTGTATTAATTTGTATATTTGAACTCTGTTATGCCAAGTGTCGTTTCGAATTGAATTTATAGAATACTCCATACAATTTCCAGTATGTTATAATTATCCTTCGAATCGTCGGTGTTTCACGAAATTAGCCAAATTCTCTCTTTAATAAACATGTTGACGTTTGCCATGTTGATGTTATCATGTTAAACGTAAACTTGTAGCATCTCTCCGTCGAACATATACAATATAACTGATGCATATGTAATTTAACGTGATTTACGTGACCTACAAACTCAAAACAGAACCATTCGCTTTTATGAGGATCTCTGTTTTAATATTCAAACCAGCTGACTGGCAGATACCCCCGATAAAATTTGTTTATTCGCAATTTCAAAAAAACGAAATCCACAAAACTTGTAAAGTGCGATGATAAGTCCTAAATCCTGTTTTTACATTTAGTTCAAGGAGATTTTTATAAGCAAACCCGGATTTAAATAAAATTATGTTATTGGATTAAAGCCAAGGTTAAACTTTCAAGATTCTTCACAAAAAATGGTGGATGCGCTGCGTTAAATGTATTTTATATCGTGTAGGAGTGATAACGTTGGCTTTTTGTACTCGTTTCTCCCTTTTGTGAAGTTTTAAATTGGATTTAATGTCGTTTTGTGTGGTTATTTAGCACAAACACGTGTGGAAAAATATGACGTTTTCGGCTAACGAAGCGATAAAAGAGATCATTTCAGCCAAGGCTTCTGATAAAAAACCTTCTTAACTCTGCAAAATCGATGCAAACACAGCTGCGAAACTCTACTTTTCTTCATTGATTTATAAATCTAATCTATGTTACTTGTCACATTTCTTGTCAAGTATAAACCGTGTTTGTGAAATTCTCCAACTGGAATTTTATGGAGAGTTCATGACAATTTTTAATTGAAACCGTTTTTATTTGTAGACAATAACTTTTAAACGGCGTTTGTGTCATATTAGTTTTTTTACGGCTCGAGATTCAAAGAAAGCGAAATTGCGTTAATATTTTATGCGAGGATTTGCTCCAGACATTATCGAGTTTATATCCAATTGGCTTTTGGAAACTTTATTAATCCGGAACATAAATTTTTGAATTTCCTCTAACTTGACCACATTTCACACCTGACTGACTTACAACCCCTTTTATAAATTAATTGACGTGAAGACGTCTTTATCGCTGAGAATCCTTTCTTTTTTCTTTGTGCAAAAGCAAAACACTGCGAAAAAGAAAAGACGAGAAGCTATGGCATTAATCAATATCTGACGCCAAATACCAGCACACTTTTTCTATTATTTATACCCTTTTTGTTGAAATATTAAATTTTTTCCCCTTCAATTAATTTTCAACACTGTCGCTAATTACAATGACTGAGTTACAAAGTTTTAAGCTCCGGTGTGAATAAATGTAATTTTGTAAAAATTGGAACACAAGGAAAACATGTTTACCACCTGTTGGATGTCTGTTTCATTTCAAAAGCAAACAATTTTTTGTTAAAAGTGCTATTTTTTAGTTTTCTCTATTCCAAAATCGAAAATCTCAATTGTGTTTGTAAACAAACGGATGTAATTGTTTAACGAAACCAAACATAAATCAGATAATAATCAAACCAATAAAAATGCATAAAACAAAATACTAAAAGCCAAATATATTTTTATCAAAAACAATTTTTATCCGCGAAACTCATTTTTCACCAGTGACAAATTTCTACAATTGAAATTCTTGCCAAAAAAAATAATTTTTGTTGGAAATACGAATGTAAATAACCTGTCTTGTTTGTAATAAACGTGAAATGCTATAAGGAAGTTTCTCCATTTCGGAACGCGTGGCAGAGGGAGGAAATTCTGTTGTAGGCCATTTAAATTTAGAGTGGAAATAATTAATCCTCTGGGAGTAGTATATAATGTTTCTTCAGTTTAAAAACCACCGAGCGCCCTGTATTTTAATCTAAGATGAAGTAATAAACGCAAATTGGATTTTAGACAGTACATGAAATTTTATTATTAATAAGTCTGTAATTTTATCATTCAAAACGACTACCGAATTACTCATCATCTCTGTTATTATAATTTTAATTAAAAACACCTTGCGTAAATTCAAATCAGAAACTTGTTTGTTTTACTTCGATAAGATTACTCCCAACACGTGATTTCTTATGTTTACCTTCACAACTGTGCAAAATGTCACCTAGATACCTGATTTTTCGTAAGTAGCAAAAAAATCAAACTAAATGTAACTTTGTACAGTCCTAGTCATCAATAACGTCTCAAGTCAAAACAACACGGCGCTGCTACCAAAAATCGTAGGGGGCTTCGAAGCCACTAACCAATCCCAGTTTGCCTTTATGGTACAGTTGTATTTTTTTTTCAGCAAATTAAATGATGATTGTAGGTGTCTATAAGGCTCTACGGCCACCATATCTGCGGAGGCTCTATTATAGACCCTTCTCATGTCCTCACAGCCGCTCATTGCTGCCTCAATAATGACAACAACAAGCCGTACCCTCCTCACATGATGTCAATAACAGCAGGAAGTCTGCATCTGAATAATGCACCGATGGTGAAATCTGTAAATGCAATTATTGTCCACCCGAAATACGACACCGAGCGTCTGGTCAACGACATTGCTTTGATTAGAGTAAAAACCTCGATTTAAAACATTAAATTTTACTAAAACTTTTTAAAGATTAGAGGGGTTTTCGAATGGTGGAGCAGACTTTTGACTGCCATTCCGATTGCCAGTGTTGTGCCGGAGCATGAATACTGTTTCTCGTGTGGCTGGGGAACCACCAAATTTGTAATAAATTCGTAGCACTTGTTTTTTTATTATAAATATTTTGTAGAACACATCGAAACCCAGTAATCATCTTCTTTACGTTAACATTCCAATATATAATAGAAAAATGTGTCAAAAAATATACCAACCAATGCCAATCACTGATAAAATGATATGTGCAGGAGCAAAAGGGAAGGATTCATGTCAGGTAGTAAGCACGACTAAAAATTAATTAGCAACTAGTTGGGATAGATTACAAGTCTAACATTTCAATCATTAATTAGCAAGTTACGACAAAATTTCAGCATGTTTCAGTTTCAAATCTTTTCCTGAAACCAATAGAATATCAAAAATAGTAGTGTATTGACTTACTCTGTAGTTATTGCTTCAAAATTATAATTTATGTTAATTTAGTAATAATACAGGGTGTGTCAAAACTTGCGCCCCAGAGAAAAATTTCAAGTAAGATAAGATACCAGAAACATGGAAAAATTGTTTAAAAAATTCAATTTTTTTTTTGATATTTGACATTTTTTACGTCTATTTAATGATACTGATAAATGATGATCTTGTATATGTTTTTCTTATAATTATTTAGTAAAAATACAAAAATTTTGCCAATAAAAGCCACAAATAACATTAAACAAAGTTACATTTTAAGATACAGTTTCCTTGTTTCCTCTCCTAATAGCCTGTAGCAAAAAACATTTTTTCCATGTTCCTGGTATCTTACCTTCCATGGCATTTTTCTCTGGGGCGTGAGTTCTGGCGCAGTCTGTATTCACAAAATTTGGAGAATAAGTCTTATCCGTGGAGATTACGACGCCATTTACATTAAGACTAAATCTAGCTTCTAATTAGACCAAATTTCAGCTAAATTAATTATCAACACACACATTTAATAAAAAGCGCTTCATTTTTTAGATAACACTCTGTGTATTACTTAGCAGCAGCATTGTCCCGAATTAGGTGTCATAATTAGAGTAAATACGCTCAAAAGATAACACAAAGAAACAATAAATTAATTACGTTCTATTTTTATATTTTTATAAGGTCGTTTCAACCGTCAAACAATCAAATTATTCTTATTCAAAGAATAAAATTTTGTTCAAAACTGCTCGTAATCTCGCTTAAGTCAATTAAAAATCATCCGTTGTTGCAATAACAATGTTTAGAAAATTTCTAACGAGAGATAAAGTCGGTTATTTGCTTGCTTTAACCACAGTGGAGAGAAAAAAGATTATGACGTCAGATACTTGAAACTTAATCAAGGATCCAATTAGACCCAATTTCAATTAAATTAATGATGGGGGATATGCTCCTGCTTAAATTCTTAATTAAATCTCTTAAAAAAACAAACGTATTAATTAATTTTCAGTCAAAAAAGAAATTAATTTCAGGGCGACTCTGGAGGACCATTAGTCTGCAATGGTGTCCTTGCAGGAATTGTGTCTTGGGGAAGTGGATGCGGCGATTATCCTGGAGTATACACAGCTGTAGCCAAATATAAATCATGGATAAATCATTTCATAATGAATTCTTCTTCGACACTGAAATACAACATCTTGGCTGTGATTTTTAATGTCGCATTTGCGTTCTTTATTTAAAATAAAAACAACAAACATTAATTCTTTATCCTGCGTTAATTCTTTATCCTGCGTAAATGCCTACTATTTTATACCAATATTTCAGAGTTTTTACGAAAAACCAACCAACCTGAAAATTTTATGACATATTTGAGTTGTGTGACCTAAAATTTGTTAAATTTGGTAAAAAATATTCTCGATATTTATTTGTGGTTCTCAATGAGAATGCTTGTTTTATTACCGCCCAAAATCCGATTAAGTTCTTTACTACTATTTGTTACAAATAACGACAAACTTAACACATTACAATATCTTTTTTTGTTTTATAATCTCACCATAATGTAAATCCTTACAAATATTAAGTAAGATTATATCGTAAAGTGAAAAACATGAAATAGACACCAGTAATCAGTGAAAATGTCTTCGGAATCTGACGACAATGTTTTCGACGAAGTTATGCTCCAAGTGGGATATTCGGGGAAATTCCAAAAAATCTACAATTATACTTTCAATCTAGTTTTCGTTTTTGTGGCCACTATGGCCAGTTTTAACACAATTATTTCTCTCTCAACACCTGAACATTGGTGCAAAGTGCCCGGGAGAGAGGCCAACATGTCCTTAGACTTGTGGAAAAATCTCACAATTCCGCGGTAAGAACAAAAATGAAAAAACCTAAAAAATCGTCTCAAATTTTAGAACAAACAGCAGTGAAAGTGAGTTTAGCCAGTGCAGTATGTTCAACAAAAGTGACGGGAGCTCAGTGATTGGTAATATACAGTGTGTTGGCGTAAAAGTAAAAAAATGCATTTCAGATTGTTTGCATGGCTGGGAGTACGACCAAACCTACTACACCCAAACAATCGTAAGCCAGGAAAATTGGGTTTGCGGTTCGAAAATGCACGCTACGAATTTGTTAGTCGTCGGAAAAATCGGTGAAATTTTAGGAACTGTTTTTAGCCAACTTGGGGACATGTAAATTGTGACCCATTTTGAACCCATTCCCACTTCTAAAATTTGCAGATACGGCCGTCGCCCCATTTTCTACGCCGGAATCGTGTCAGTCGTCGTGGGCCGGTTGGGCCTTTTGGTCTCCAAGGGCTTTTTCCTCTTATTCGTCGCATTTTTGATAATCGGAAACCTCTCAGGCATGGCATTATTTCAAGCCCCTCTGGTCATTTCAGTGGAAATATCCAGTGTCGAAGACAGGGCAATGATCCCACTTTTGCAGTGTGTTGGATGGACTCTGGGGCTCTGTGTGTCCCCCTTGATTTTTTGGTGGCTGGGTGATTGGATCCCTTTCACCGTTATAACCACAGTCCCTGTCTTGATTTTTTTATTTTTCCGACCGTAATAGAAAAAATGTGAAAATACCTACAAAACTTGACCAAATTTTTGCAGATATATGATTGAGTCGCCCCGCTGGTTGGCTAGCAAGGGCAAAATCAAAGAATGTGTAGTGGAGTTAAAAAAAATTGCAAAAATAAACCGGACGCAATTATCTGATAAAGTTTTGGTCACTTTGAATAACAAATCGGTGGCCGAGGAGAAAAATTTCGGTGTGATGAGTCTCTTCGGGAGCTGGAAGTTGGCGAAAAAGTCACTTTTGATAATCTCAAGCTGGTAAATTTTTGAAAACTCTGGTGTGCCAGATCTCTCGCCCCAGAGAAGGTGTAAGATAACAGGAGCATGGAAAAAATGAAAAAAAATCTATCTACAAAAATTTCGAAGTTATGAGAGTTTGAATTATGCACTTTGACTCTATTTATTTTTGTTGGAAAATAATTTTCCAAGTTTTTGTTACAGGATATTAGAAGAGGAAACAAGGAAGCTGTATCCTAAATTGTAACTGTTTAATGATTTAATTCGTAGCTTTTATTGGCAAAATTTTTGTCCCTTTACCAAATACTTATTAAAAAAACATACAGGGTGTTCCGTTTTAATTGTTACAAACTTAAACAGGTGATAGAATATTCAATTTTAATACAAAAGTTTCCTATCAACATGTATCAAAAAATGTTACGTAAGCGAGCTACACTCCTTGAAAGAGACGCGTTTTTAATGGAGTTTTCCCACTATTGTAGAATAGATAAAATTACAAGAGTTTGTATAGCTGATTACTTTTAAACACCTGAACGAATTTATAGATCAGTTGTCGAAAGTTTTAATCGCGGGTCTCTTAAACGGTAAAACAAATTTTATTTTTATCCTTTTTATGGTCTGTAAGACAAATTGTAAATTGATTTTACTCAAAAACAGTAAGTTTTATCGAAAAAACGCAAGAGACCTCTTTTTTGTGAAAAACTATGAAATTTAGAATTTTGTGGCTGAAAGTGGCAAAAACCAACCGCCAAAATAGTTACGGTACTTTTTACCCTAAACCCCCCAATTTAGGACGCCCCTGAGTAAAAATTTCGACATTTTATCTTTGAATTCATTTGGGTGTTTAAAGGTTATCAGTTGTACCAAATTTTGTAATTTTATCTACGATGGTTTCTGAAATAATGGAAAAAATCCATTAAAAGATGCACCCCTTTCAGGGGATGTGGTTCTCTTATACAGAGTGTTCCGTCTAAATCCCACTTTAGAAGTATTGGGAGTTGCAATAATCGTATTTATTTGAAAATTGGTACATAGCCATAAACAATTAAGTCCTCCTAAATGAAAATATTTTCAAGATGGCGGCACTTCCGCTTATACCGGAAGTCGGTCTCAACATTCTTATTTTAAATGGAAGGGTATATTTTTTACTGCGTTTTTCGATTAATTGGGTTATTTTAAGAGAATTTTCATGAGCTTTCCCTATACCTAAATTTAACCGTTTTGGAGTTTTTCAAAAATTTTTGGATTTGCACCTTCCACTTTAAAAACCAGTAACTCTGCTGTTTTTAAAATTTTGAATTCGTTTTTATGGCGTTTGAAAGAGAAAGTTTAGATCTTTCTTTCGGTGTTACTTTTGTAATAATTCAAATACCCATAACTCAATTTTTTCAAATGAAATACCCCAATTTTTATTATACAAAATGGAGGAGAATTTAATTCTGCATTGATCTGTATTAACATTCCCTATACCTAAATTTAATAATTTTTAAGTTGTGGTGACTTTTTGTTGAGACTGCCGAAAATCTGTTATTAGCCACATTCGTTTTCGTATAGTTTGCTATGGAAATAAAAAATGTCAAAATTGTTTCTCAATAAATGTCGACAGTGACTTATTATTTCACAAATAGTGCCAAAATATGGAGAGTCAAAGCTATTTGGCAAATAATAAGTCACTGTCAACGTTTACTGAGAAACAATTTTGACATTTTTGATTTCCATAGCAAACTATGTGAAAACGGGTATGGCTAGTAATAAATTTTCTGTAGTATTAAAAAAAGTCCATAACTTGAAAATTATTAAATTTAGGTATAGGGAATGTTAATACAGATCAATGCACAAATAAATTCTCTTCTATTTAGTAAAATAAAAATTGGGGTATCTCATTTGAAAAAATTGAGTTATGAGTATTTGAATTATTACAAAAGTAACCTTAAAATTTTTGGATATGTTATTTTTTTTCAAAATTTAAAAACACCAGAAAAAGGATCTAAGCTTTCCCTTTCAAACGCCAAAAAAACGAATTTAAAATCTTAAAAAATGGCAGAGTTACCGATTTTTAAAGTGGAAGGTGCAAATCCAAAAATTTTTGAAAAACTCCAAATATTTCAAAAACGGCTAAATTTAGGTATACGGAAAGCTAATAAAAACTCCCTTAAAATAACCCGATTAATGCAAAAACGCAGTAAAAAAATATACCTTTCCATTTAAAATAAGAAAGTTGAGACCGACTTCTGGTATAACCGGAAGTGCCGCCATCTTAAAAATATTTTCATTTAGGAGGACTTAATGGTTTATGGCTATGTACCAATTTTCAAATAAATACCATTATTCCAACTCCCAATACTTCTAAAGTGGGGTTTAGACGGAACAGCCTGTATAAAATTTTTCGATATATGTTTATAAGAAACTTTTATCTTAAAATTGAATATTCTATCAACTGCTTAAATTTGTAACATTAAAAATGTATACAAGATCATCAGACAAAAAATGTTAAATGAAAAATAAATATCAAAATTTTTTAACAGATAGAATTATTTAAACATTTTTTTTCATGTTCTTGGTATCTTAAGATACTTGAATTTTTTTCTGGGGCGCGAGTTCTGACACACTTTGTTTAAAAAAAAAAACAAAATTTGTAAACAGGATTTGCCAAATGATGATCTACTTCATTCTGTTCTTCAACGTGAGCAACTTGAAAGGAAACCCCTTTATGAACTACTTCTGGCAAGGTTTGGGCGAGCTCCCGGGATATTTCCTGGGTAAATACCTGAGTGATGCAATTGGTCGCAAATACACGAGATTTGGTGCTTTTATCGCCATCGGAATCGTTGCAATTATTTTAGCATACGTATTGTCGTGTCTGTATTTTAATTAATCACAAACTCGTATTTACCCCATTTTAGTTTCAGGCAATGTAATAATAATTACAGTCTGCGGAATCCTCATGAAATGTCTTTCGTCGGTAGCTTTTTATGCCATGAATTTGCAAACTTTAGAAATATACCCCACGTGTCTGCGGCAAACCGGCTCCTCAATAGGGTATCTAGTCGCCAGTCTTTTCGGTATTTTGACACCGTACGTCACCTATCTTGTAAACACCCGAATTACATACTTTTATTTCTCTCTAATTATATTTTTGTTTGAAGGGAACTGCGATAAATGCGGGTTTGCCCTATGTCATTATCGTAGTTTTAGCTGCGGCAGGTGCAATATTCGGCATGTTTATCCCGGAAACACTCAACGAAAAGCTTCCGGAATCTATTAGAGAAGCTGAGGAATTTGGCGCCGATCAGAGAGTCTGGGCGTTCCCCCGGGGCAAAATATTCACACATAAAACTGTACCGAACAATGTTATATAAATAAATTTTTATCACAATTCTAAATTTTGATTCTTATCAGGCAACATACAGTCTGCCATTGTTCCAATTGTGTGACTAATCGGAATTGATTGTTTATAACTCGAGACACGTAGTCGCCAAATTTTTGCGATACCTCACATATCTTATCAGTTATTACAATCAATCAGTTACAAAAATTCGGTGAAAACATCTAGTTTGAGATTTATTATGATGTCTTTGTTTGGTGTTAACATGGCAGTGCCGATCAAAGAGAATATAAGAGAGAGTCGGATTTACATTCTTTCGAGTGTCGAAAATGTGGAAAATCACACTCTTGACAAAAAGTATCTCTTCTTTAAAACGCTACAATTGGTAAGTATAAATACGATTTGATTTTACTTTATTAAAAAGGTTTAGATTTTTTCGTTATGTTCGCTGATGTTGTTTGCATACGGAATCAGAGCAACAGAAAATGAAATCGAAGATATGTTAAAATATGTTGTTTTGGGAGGACTCACAATTTATCCTTTGCTTTTTATTTTGCTACAAATTGATGTAAAACGGCGTCCACTGATTGTAAGTTATATTACATTAATCACTACTTTTATGATTTGTAATTTTAGATAGTTTGCAATGCTACAGCAATGATCACTTTATTAGCAATCGGTGCTACCGCTGTATCGTCATTGTGGACCAATAAAAGTTATTTTTTTCCACCGATTGATAAAGAACGACATTATGAATCACTGATGCTACTTAGATCATCGTTTTTATCAATCACAAGTAGCTTTTTATATGGAATAGAATCTCTAATAATGTGTTACGAGATTAGAAAATTTTATCGCAACAATAGTAATTAGCTTTGCAGTTATGTTAAATGTTTCGAATATGTTATACAATTTTAACGTTACTGTGATATAAATTATGTGAATAAATTGTTTCTATACTGTTTCACTGACATTTTTTGTCCAAGCCCCAAAATACTAAAAATTTAAATTATTCCTGTTTGCCGCTCATTATGCGGCAAATTCCGAATGTTTGAAAAACCGAAAGTGTTGAATTTCTCCATATTACACAATAAAATTTCGTACGCAACAAATCATCTGAATACTCATTATGTTGTTTGTTTACGAATTAAAACAAATCAATAGATAAATTAATACTATAATCTTTGCAAAACCCTTTTCGCGATTACCCGTTTTCGTGATTACCCAAAATCGATTTTGTCTTAGTGAATGACATCGCATCTGTCAGTTTCACGTGTATTAATATTTGGCAATTTCGTGAAAACTAATTTCCAAGCTTATAACCATGTCCAAAAAACGCGGAAATAAAAAGAATCTAAATTTGGAAAGTGACAATGACGAAGAAGGGCCCGTTGCGAAAACGGAGGCCGAGAAAGGTAACATAACCTCAAAACCAAGTAAAAGTAAAGCCCCCAAAAAGGGGAAAAAGGGCAAAAAAGACGATTGGGTTGATGATGACGATGACAAGACGGTCTCCCTGATTGATAGTGTTGACGAGGAGATTCAACCCGTGGCGAAAAAAAGTGCAAAGAAGAGTGAGTTTTGTTAACATATGCTGGGATTTGCTTTTGGCTTATTTGGAAAATTCTAGAGTCGAAAAAGAAAGGTCACGAGTCCGGGAGTGAGGATGAGGAAGATAAAATTGAGGTTAAAGCGGAGCAGAATAAAAAGAAAGTGGGAAAAAAAGGTTGTTTATTGAATGTTAAGTTTACATTATTTTAAATTATGTTTAGGTAAAAATAAGGATGATGATTGGTCGGACAATGACAGTAATGTGGAGTTGCAAATTTCTGACGTAGAGGAAGAGATTCAACCAGTGAAGAAAAGCACCAAGAAGAATACTAAAACTAAAAAGAAGAAAGATCTCAGTGATGAGGATGAAGCTCTGGAACAACAAATTGAAGAACCCAAGCCAGTCGAATCAGACAAAGAAGAAGAACCTGACGAAATTACTGAAAAACTCTCCGAAATGCAAATAACAGAAGTGAAGAAAGAACCCGAAGAGAAAAAACTCACCCACAAGGAGAAGAAAAAACTGAAAAAGCAGCAAGAATATGAGAAACAGATGGAAACCCTCCTCAAGAAAGGTGGTCAAGGCCACTCAGACCTCGACAGTAACTTCACTGTCTCCCAATCGCAAAAAACCGCCGGTCAATTGGCCCAATTAGAGAACGCCGTTGACATTAAAATCGAAAATTTCAGTATCTCCGCAAAAGGCAACGATTTGTTCGTTAACGCGAATTTGCTAATCGCGAACGGGCGTCATTACGGTCTTGTGGGGCCCAACGGTCACGGTAAAACGACACTTTTACGTCATATTGCCCAACGCGCATTTGCGATACCCCCCAATATTGATATTTTGTACTGCGAGCAAGAAGTGGTCGCTGATAACTTCTCAGCGGTCGAGTCTGTGTTAAAATCAGATGTTAAAAGGACTGAATTATTGGATGAATGTAAAGAATTGGAGGATGCGTTTAATGCCGGTGATTTGGGAGTCCAGGACCGGCTTAACGAAGTTTATGCCGAATTGAAGGCCATTGGGGCGGATTCGGCCGAACCCAAGGCTAGGAGAATCTTAGCTGGTTTAGGATTTACTAAAGAAATGCAGGTAAGTTGTGTTTTCGACCGGTTTTTTGGGTAAAAAGGGTTTCAGGATAGGGCAACTAAAAATTTTTCTGGTGGATGGAGAATGAGGGTGTCCCTAGCAAGAGCGTTGTACATAGAACCGACTTTGTTACTTCTTGATGAACCAACGAATCATTTAGATTTAAATGCGGTTATTTGGTTGGACAAGTACGTTTTATTGATTTTTTTGTGAGGAAATTATGTGATTATTTCAGTTATTTGCAAACTTGGAAAAAAACTCTCCTTATTGTTTCACACGACCAGTCATTCTTAGATAATGTTTGTAATGAAATTATCCATTTGGATAATCAAAAGTTGTATTATTATAAAGGGAATTATTCAATGTTTAAAAAAATGTATCAACAAAAACGGAAAGAAATGATTAAGGAGTACGAGAAGCAGGAAAAACGTCTGAAAGAGTTAAAAGCACACGGATCGTCGAAGAAACAAGCCGAGAAGAAGCAAAAAGAGGCTTTGACGAGAAAACAAGAAAAAAATAGGACGAAAATGCAGAAACAAGAGGACGAAACAGCCCCAACTGAACTTCTTCAAAAACCTAAAGAATATTTCGTCAAATTTTCATTCCCGGAGCCTCCGCCTCTACAACCCCCAATTTTGGGGTTACATAGTACGTGTCTATTAACAAATTGTGACTGAAATAATTTTTTATTTTACAGACGTAACTTTCGCATACGCGGATCAAAAACCCCTCTTCCGCAACACCGATTTCGGTATCGACATGAGCAGCAGAGTAGCAATTGTCGGTCCAAACGGAGTCGGGAAATCCACCTTTTTGAAATTACTAACTGGTGATTTGACTCCACAACAAGGTGAAGTGCGGAAAAATCATCGACTGGTAATTCTTGTGTGATTATTTTTCTGGAAAGTTTGATGGGGGATTATTTTTCAGAGAATCGGCCGTTTTGATCAACATTCAGGCGAACATTTAACGGCTGAAGAAACCCCCGCTGAATATCTAATGAGATTGTTCGATTTACCGTACGAAAAGTCGCGAAAGCAATTGGGAACTTTCGGTCTAGCGAGTCACGCTCATACCATCAAAATGAAGGATTTATCGGGCGGGCAAAAAGCACGAGTGGCTTTAGCCGAACTGTGTCTTAATGCACCCGATGTCCTGATTTTGGACGAACCGACGAATAATTTAGATATCGAGTCAATTGATGCGCTAGCTGAAGCTATTAACGACTTCAGCGGTGGTGTCATTATAGTGAGTCACGACGAACGACTTATCCGGTAAGAGAAAAATTCGGTGTTTCACCCTACTAATATTTTTTTATAGTGAGACAGACTGCGCCTTGTATGTAATAGAAGACCAGACCATAAACGAACTAGACGGAGACTTTGACGACTACCGCAAAGAACTCTTGGAGAGTCTGGGTGAAGTGATCAATAGCCCCAGTATTGCAGCAAATGCTGCTGTTGCTCAATAACTTTACTAAAATATTTCTACATTGTATTTATTTAAAAAAAAAAAAAACAAATACAATCAATATTTTAATCTCTTCGCTTTCGCTTATCCCTATCATCTCTCCTTTCCGGCTCTTTGCGTTTACTCGCACGTTTAGCCTGACTCAAGAACTGATCTAAACCGAACGGATCCTCCTCTTTTTCGAATTGGACTGGTCCTGACCTCGGCGCATTCCGATCCGTTCCGCTGAACTCCTTATCCGGGACAAATCGGTTCGTTTTGACGATTTTCTCCAAATCTTCACCGTACACTTCCTTGTCCACATTTCTGCTAGGTCTGTACAAATGATTGGCCATTGAACCCCCCTCTCTCCACGGCTTATCGTAAACATTATACGCATCATCGTCCCCATATCCGTGCCCCAGGCCTTGGGCCTGTCCGAATAACCTCTGATCAAACTGCACCTCGTTTGAGGACACTCCTCTGGCCGGCATTCCCAACGCAATCTGTTCGGAAATATCCCTCTCTCGCTCCCTCTTCAACTTCGACCTCTTATCAGGGGCCGCTCGAGCTAAATTCCTCTCCCTCGCTCTCTCCTTATGACGGTCCTGTCGCAACATCTCCCTCTCCCGTTCCTCCTCATCGGTGATTTTCGCATCGGCGACTTTGATCCCTGCACGTTCATCTCTCGCTTTCTGCGCCAACTGTCTCAAATGCTCCTCTTTTTGTTCTTTTTCCTTTTGAGCGAGTTTCTTTTCGAGTTGGGCGCGGGTTTCAACAGCCTCTCGGGCTTTTCTATCGGCAATATACAATGCCTCGGCCAACTTGGCGAAATTCTCGTTGATGTGCAACTGTTGCAAGCCTCGGCCATCGGCAGCTAAACGCTTATCCAATGGGACTGTGTACCCCTTTGCGTTCTTCCAATTCGAAATACACGGCGGGATTTTCCACTCTTTTTGTTCCTTAACGGTGACACGTCGTGTAGGACTGTGCAAAACCGGAGCTGGGGGTGAAGGCGGCCCCCGGGGGATTTTCTTATTGATTTTGAAACGTGGTGGCTCCATTGGATCAACTTGGGCTTCAACGAGACGAATGACCCGCTGCTTCGCCCCCGAGTTGAACGCAGCCCCTTGTTGCGACGGAGTGTATCTGATAAATTCAGCGGGGCCCTGTTTTTCAGCACATCTGACCGGCATAGCAGCCGCGATTTTCGAATTTGTCAGTCTTTGTAATGCCTGACGGGTTTTTTCTGTGATATCTTCGATTTCCTCCTGACAGGGTTTAGCCAAACTTGGGTCGTTTTCAGAGGTTACTTCAACTGGTAACAAATCAGATAATTTGGAATAGACGATTTTGTCTTTGCCGTGGCCTTGACGTGCGATTACGTCGTATTTCACTTTGCCCTCGGCATCCAATTGGACCGCCAGAGCATTTGAAGTCGATTCCTTGCCCTTGCGCCCCATATCAAGGGGGTATTGGGCCACGTGGATCTCAGGGAATGCACCCCCATCTATAACAATTTTAATAAAAATCACTGATTAAAATTATGCGGTAAATTACCCCCAAAATCGGTATGCACTCGTGGGACCCAGCCCCTCCTCTGTCCATATGGCGGGGCGATGCTTTGGGCTGTTACTACAGATGTTGAACGCTGATTTGAGGCATTCTGTTGGCGTCTCTCGTCGTCGCGATCCCATACAGGTTGTATGGGGGCAGGTAATAAGCTACAAAACAATAATGGCGTCGTACAGTACCAACACAAAAGTGGGGTTATGTTACCTGGACAATTCCATTTCGTCTCCTAAATCAATAAAACTGTAACAATAGCGCAAAATATTCACACCACACACATTAATGGAACTTTTTAATAGTTCACTACACTAACAAATCGAAAAAAGCGTGAAAATTGATTGCACAATTGTGAATTTTGTTGGAACGATTCTGGTAAAGTTTTGCTATTATGCCCTCAGTCTACACTATTTTAAGAAGTTTTTAATTAGAACACACAATTAAGTAACCGATTAAAGTGTTTAATTTCGTTTTATAAAAACAATCTAATCAACGCCACTTAAACGTCAAACTGACGAAATGACAAATGACGTATCGAGGGAGGGGTTGCAGCTGGGATAGTTAATAACCGAAATCCGGAAAGCGCGAAAATATTTATTGATTTTATGGGATTTTTTTTAATTATATTAATATTTAATAGCATTATTGGTAATATGAACCCATTTGAAAAGTATTAAAATCAATACCTCAAAATTTGTAATTTTTATGAAATAAAACAGAAAAAACAATTTTTTATAGTTAAATAATCTATTATCGTTGTGGAGAAAGGATGTTGGTGAAATAAAAGTTGAAGAATTCAGAAAAAATCTATACTTTTGACAAGAAATGATTTACAAATTACTATTGCCACAAACATTCAAACAATCATCCGCTCATTTACCCACATAAAACCAAGCTCCTATAATATGTTTATAAATTTGCCATTAGTATAGTAAGTTAACGGAACAATACGCAAAGAAAGCCCACTAACAGTTTTATGACCAGTTAATCGCTTTCCAAATACATTTCTCTCGCTGCAAATAGCTTTCATAGACATTGGCAGTCTTGAATTACGTAATGCCGTCGAAACAGTCAAATAGTGATCGCGATAAATAACAAAATCTGACTGATAGACGACGACACTCATGCAAATAAAAGCATCATATTTTGTTGAAAATGATTTTTTTTATCTATGAATTTAACTGCTATGACGGCCTCTTAAGAACTGCACATGTTCAAAATATTTGCAAATATAATGGGGGAAAAGTTTAGTGTTCTTACATTCTATTTCTACATTAATTTAATATATTATATATAACAATACTATTTATAGTAATGAATCATAGTCATAATGCTTTCGCAGTCTGTTAAAAAAACACTTTGGCTTTAATCCATCGAGGGACACCATTACTAGTAAAATGGCACTAGATTTACTCCAACGCAGCCACAAAGCTAAGCGCACACTTGGACACAAATAAATTTAATCGACAGTAAATTAGAATAACATCACAATTGGGGTCCTTGGTTTATTCCTGATGTGATCCGGACTCGTACCACGATTTTCTTCTCCTAAACCAAATTGTACTCGCGAAGATTTGACTGCAGTATCGTATCTTTGACAGCCGCAAATACAAACTTTATATTCTCAGTGTCTGAAAAAGTCCAGTTATTTTACATCATCTCTGATAAAACACCGCCAAGCATCAAAGCCAAAGAAAAAAAAACAAAAATTTACCTTAACCCTCCATGCAAATTTAAGCTAAATTAAACTCTTTCAGTGCTGTCTGCATTATCGTATCTTTAACAGCACAAAACACAAGTTTAATATTTTCCGTATCTGTTATGTTTAAACATTCCACAAGAAAGCATGCACAAAGAAACAAAATTGATCGTTAAAAACCATTAAAAATATTAGTTTAAGGCGAAAAGCAGAAGCTTTAGAGGAGACGACTTTTCATAAACTAAAAATACCTGTTGCACATGTAAAGTGTGAGTATATGATTTTTTCGCTATCTGGGTTGAGGTCTACAAACATCCTGAGAATAAATTCCCTAGCTGCAATCGCATCTCGTTGGAGGCCTAATCAAAACACAATTAGCGATACAACTACATATTAAAAGGGTCATTTTTTTTAATAAGCAAAACTAGCAATAGGCAAATTGCACCTGTTGCTGTTGTAAAATGAGAGTAACAACTGCGTTCAGGATCGGGATTTTCACGCATATAGTTTTTCAAAATGTATTCTCTCGCCGCAATATGATCCTGTTTAGGCCCTTTAGTAACATTTTCTTTTCATGGAATTAAAATCGTTACAAAATTACTTACCATCGTATTCTGGAAAATAATCTACAAGATGAGAATACATGATTTTTTCTTCAAGTAGATCCTTCTTATTTAAAAATAAAATGACAGACGAGTGCTGGAACCATGGGTATGTTATGATGGTTTTGAAGAGTGCCTTCGACTCTTCCATACGATTCTAACAAACACAAAATCAATACTTGTTAAAAATTCATCAAAATCAATTACCTCATTTTCGGATTCGAATAGAATCTGGTCGTATTCGCTTAAAGCTACTAAAAATATGATAGATGTTACATTTTCGAAACAGTGAATCCATTTCCTTCTTTCGGACCTTTGTCCTCCAACATCAACCATTCTGAAACATTTAACAAATTTATAAATATTTAGTCTCACTTAGGTTTAGTCCAGTAGCATCATAAACAACAGAATTTTATATTCCTGTTGTTAAGATCATTTACTAGACTAACAAAAAAAATGAATAAAACATTTGTTAGTGAAACAAGTGATTACGAAAGCTACACTACAACTGCAATATCTTTCAATACTTCTTTATTCATGCAACACACTACAAATAAAAAATAAACAAAAGCCAATTGCGTAAAATCAGTTAGTGCTTCTAAATGATACAAAAGCTTTATAAAAAATAAAACACAAATTTTTACCTGATTTCGATTTAATGTTTTCTGACCGACTTTACTTAAAAATTCGCCTATAAATACAAGTGTTGTAAAGCTTCAAAAATTAGGAAAATAGGTGGAACAGAAATCTGTTTATCAAACAAATAATGACTTATTTTGTAAAAAAAAAAACTCGTAATAAAGAAGTATACTAGACCTTTGAAAAAGCCCGCATCGATGTCGCGAATGATTTTTTGAAAAAAATTTGAATTCAATGTTATACTCATACCTAAAAATAATGGAGTCGAGATCAAAAGGATATTCAATGATTCCTGTCGTAGGCGCTCTCGCCCTGAGGATGTCCTGCTCGGTGGGTAGATAATCAGGAGCTCTTATTCGCTCCAAGTCGCTAAGATAGCTGCAACCAACATAAGCATGCAACATGCAGCCAACAACACAGACCAGAGCTAATTGTAAAAAGAGAGTGAGTGCTTTAACCGTTAATTTTTAAACACATGTATTAAATTAAAAGAAATCGCCGTGCTACAAGTAATATATTAAAGACGTGGGCACCACAAATAAAAAGACAAACGCGACATGCCGAAACCGTACCTAAACCTGATCTCGTCCAGATCGAATGGATATTCTATGATGCCGGTGGTGGGCACTCGCACACGCAAGATGTCCTGCTCTGTCGGCAGATAGTCGGGCGCTGCGACCCGGTCTATCTCCTGCAAGTAGCTGCAACGCACAGGCCGGTTTTACACAACCAAAACAACGAACCGAGGCAAAATTCCACTATTTCCTCCCGACACTTATCAAATTATCAAAATTAAATAAATGTCAACAATAAATTGCGCATATTTTTTGTTCAATCACCACTGTTTCCAACCTGGACAAAAAACTAGACAAAGAAACTAAAATAGTGAACGAATTTTTTTCTCCTAGGAAACTAATTCACTCACGAATGTGTCTCCATACTCGGCTTCGCCTAATACAGGGTGTCAATTTTAAAACATGCAATCGGCAACATCTCTAGAACTAAAAAGTTATTGAAAATCACTCAAAACCGTTTCGGTGGTTTCTAGGGGGAATCAAAATGGCATGGTAAGTGACGCTCCTACACCCACCCACCCTTCAAGCCACAGCCACCTTAAGTTGAAAATTTTAAATGGCACGACTCTACTTGCGATACATCGTTGGAAAGTCCATAACAAGCACTTGTCATACAACAGCCTATTTGGTAAAGCCATTTTTTAAATTATTCAAAAACGAAGCCGTTAAATTTTATTTTTTTTTATTATATTTAAGGGTGAGTGGAAGTGTGTCTCTTATCATGTCATTTTAATTCCCCATAGGCACCACCAAAACGGTTTTGAGTGATTATTAATAACTTTTTCAATTGAGAACTTGCCGATTGCAAGTTTTAAAATTGACGCAGTGTATGTAAATCTGTCACACCCGTGGAGTGAAACCTTTAGTTTCTCCACTCGTATTGTAATATACTATTAAACTGTTTCAAAAATCCACGCTTAAGTTGGCTTTGGAGACGATTTCATAAAGTGGCGCCTCCAAATATCAATTTAGTTTATTGCAGCTCAGTTTATATTATCGGATTCACAAACCAAATCTTGTGAGTCATCAATCTCATTTTTTCATTAATCATTACCAACACAAAAGTAAAAAAATCATTACAATGTAAACTGGGTCAATTAAAAGGTATTTAAGACTGGTAGCCTTTCTTGTCTTTGAGGGTGTTTTTGGTATAATTTACAAGTATTTTTTGATTATTGGTCGATTATCGGGGTTTATTGTTTTTTTTTTGTACTGCGTTCCATTAGCTTCTTTTAATAATATCTTACAATTAAGCAACGTTAATGAAATCAGGCATAAAAGCATTTGTGCTAATATAAAAAGTAATAAAGGTCACCAATGAAAATTAGCCCTCTTATCAAATGTTCTGAAGAAAATTTGGCATATTTTGTATATCAGCAAATTATATTATTGTAGACCAGCATTATCATTAAAATCTTGCTATTTCATCAGTCAGATAAAAAAATATTTTTTTTCTGTAAAAACAATTAGTAGTAGTGAGTAGTCGTTTGAATTATTACGGCTAGTAATTTCATTCATAAATGGAGTAATTACCATGCTGTCCGATGGAGCGCGCCACCTATCAGTCATCTGTCACAGCCTGCGTTAAAAATCGAAGTTTCCAGCATTTCACGAATTTTATCTTTAAAATATAGCAAAAATTATTGACATTCATTTGGTCATGAAATTCCTTTTTCAAATACATTGCCACCTACTCTACAAACCGCTCAAATTAAAATAAAACCACGAAAAAAAATCTCCGATTTTCCGCGTCGTAAACCCTGAATTTTTGCATGTGTTAAATCTACAATCTACGTTCCATAACCTTAACTAAACTCGTGATAATTGTGTAGTTGTTAAAACAGCGTTCGTTTCGAGTATTTTACACTATTTGTAGTAGTGATAAATACACTTACTATTTGGCAGAATCCGTAAGTTGGTATTCTCTACGACGATCGTAACATTCCTGGATTCCGGCATCGTTCCATAGATCTTTAATTGCGTCTACATATGGATTTTCAAATGTTGTTACCGTTTCGTAATCGACTGACTTGATTAATTCGGCTTTTCCCTGAAAAAATTAAAGAAAATTGGTCACTTGACATTGAATTAAATTGGATGAGCGACATTATGTAAAACTAATCCCATAGTGGGATTATGTCACACACTATGGTCATTAAGCGATAGAGAAGACGTAAAAATCGCGTACAGGTCCATCAAGCATAGGTTGTTGAACCACTGTTCTTCAAAAACTAAAATATAAAAAGGATATTAAAAAGGCTTACTGGACTGGAAGACTCGGCATATTGAATTTTTAATAGATCCATAGCCTTAATCATGCTTTGCATGGCCATAAAGATGTTCTGATAAACCAATTTGATAAATCCCCTCTTGTCTTCATCAGAGTATCCAGCACCATGAATGATTCGCATTTGTTTAATGAATGTGGATTTGCCAGATTCTCCTGTGCCTGTAATAAAACCAGAAATAGTAATGGAACCACTCTGTATATGCAGTGTAAAAATAACAAATGCAATGGAGGTTTTCTTGTAAACAGTGGGTAAAAACTAAGATGATTCGTTTTATTTTTAACGGCGAGTTGTTTTTTGGGGCAACTCACCAAGCAGCAAAAGTTTGAGTTCGCGTCGTGCATCTCGCTTATCTCGCCGTAGTTGTTTTTCGATTTCAGCGTTGATGCGTTTCTGTTCCCTAGCCTCATCCGACTGGCAACACTGCATGGTCATGCTCTTGGGGGGGCCCCTTAGCTCGCATCCACGCCGACTAGACCTGCACACACCTAGAGAGCGAGCGTTCCCATCGCGGTCGGCTGGGTGTGGTGCTTGGGTCGGGCCGGCATGCTCTTATAGCGGGGCTGAAGCTGATCCTGTTAGAGTAAGCGGATTGCCGAAGCCTCATCCACGGCCTTCGGAGCGGGATTAGGGCGGCTGCCCTCGACGGCGCTAGGCGAGGTTACGACGGGCTCCCGACGGCGCACTACACGACACTAGCCCCTCGACCGATCGACACCGTAGCCATAGCACGACCTGCGGTCCATCGATTCGCAACGACTACGACACCGAAACACCTCAAACCCTCACTAGAAACACATTTCACAGCAAACAGCAGCCGCCTCTTGTCAATATGGCGCTGCCCTGTAGTACCAGACGACTAGACCGTGCACGCAGAACAGGAAGTGCGACAAGCGCGCCAAAATTTACACATTCAAACATCAAACACTAAATTAAAAATTAACACACTTTCAACAACACCAACAACCAAACAACAACAAACTACACGTCTTGTGACCCACACAGCCACATTATTGTCTCAAAAACACCACTACTTACACTAAAACTTGAATTTCTGGTACAAGCTGGTCCGGAAATAAACATGAGCGAAATTTGACAGCTGTCATCGATTCTTTCGCCTTTTTAACTTATTTATCTAATTAGGCATTCAGTATAAATGAAAATTTTTGAAATTATGTGGACCACTACGACAAAAGTGAAAACACTCAACTGTAATTACCCATTTTCGATAATTTTGTGCACGGCGTTGGAAATTTCAGTTGGCAACACTGATAATAGTATTAAGGGATTTTACAAAAACGGTTAGGTTATGAAGACCAAGAAATAAGTGTAATAATAATAATAATAAAAACACCGAATTGTTTTATACAAAACACAGAAGATAAGACAGCATTTTCATAATTCCGCCAAGTCCCCCAAACTTTGGCAGCGCCAAATTTAAAATTGAGAATTAGGTTCTGTTTGTAAACTTCTGTTTTGAAAAAAGATTCTCTACCGTAATAATTAATCTTTATTGTAACATAATCCGAACATACACTCTACTTAAAATTAGTTAATAATAATAAAATATTAAAACGTATTAACTGAGTAAAAATAAGTTACATTTGTTGTACAAGAATATTTACTACACATAACATTCCTTCGCCTGAATTAGCAGATCTAACTAATGTAACCAAAAGTAACAAGATATAATATAGTTAAGGCACAAATATGAACATTTGAAAAAATGTGAAGAAGATAACAACAACATAATTATTTTAATCACTTTAACAATGTAAATATTTACAAAATTTCCGTCACTTATCCTTGGCACCTGAATTGATTGTTCCCGAAAAACACCTTGATGCGATTTTCTCGAATGAATCTACAAGAAGTGACTAGCTTCAAACCGTAGAAATTTATTATCAAATTTGAGCAGTGTTTTGATGACTAGGCTGGAAAAAATGTTCATAGTGCTGGTATGGAAAAAAATGCATTAAAATTATTGTAAATCTTAAGTCTATAATTATTTGATTAGAAGAAATGTTCCATTTTAGGCATACATGAGCAAGCATTATTTGATTATATCAGATTTGTACTTAACACTAATTACCGAATTACCAATTAAATTCAGATCTTTTTATAACTCAAGGAATAAAATCTGTAAATAATATCATGTATATAAGTGAATAAATTAACAGTGAGCATTGTAAAAAAAATAAAACAAAAATTCACATAAGGCACTTCTTATTGGACTATCCTGGAAGTCCTTTGTTAGTATTTGACAGATCCCACTCGTAATCTCATTGGTCTAGAGTGGCCTCGTGAAATTCGCTGGAAACATTCCTTTTTCCCCGGTATTTTCCTTTAAACCCATTAACCATCCCTCCTCCTTAAAAAACAAAAACAAAAATAATCAACAAAACCACTAAATACCACAAACCTGTTCTTCTGGATCGTCATACTCCACCACTTGAATTATTTCCCCGACGTCAAACGACAACTCATCAACATCCTCCCTGTTGTATTTATAAGTAGCCTTGACTCTATACAAGACACCTGGTGGCAAATTATCAGTACTAGCACCTAGAAATTTCCCCCAACTCAGTCTCAATGTTACCATTACATTAAATCTAACCCTACCATGCACTATCTACTTACCCACTGGAATATCGTACAACTCCTGGACATTTTTATTGTTTTGGGCATTGTTAATACTGGCTTTCTCATTAGCAGGGGCGCTAGGTTCTTGGGAGGGAGTTTTACCATCGGGAGTTGCCTCTCCGTTTATTTCAGGAGGAGTGGTTTTCGCGGGAGGAGTTACAAGTTCGACGGGAGTTGTCGGAGTTGAGTTTGATTTGGGAGGAGTTGTTGGAGTCGGATCATTAGCGTACAGTTGCGTCGTTTCGTTTTTAGGTGGATCTTTTTTAGTTGGGGATTGTGTAAGGTCTTCGGCTGCAAAACACACGCAACATTGAAATTGTTAGTTATATAAATAAAACAAAAAAAAAAAACAAAAAATTAGTCAATTAATTTTGTGAAAGTCGCACATGAAAATTATCGATTTACTTACGATGAGGTGATGAAATCGGCGAAATATTGTTGATTATTAAAGGTGATGAGTTTTTCTCGGCCGGGCGAGGCAGGCTAGAGCCGTTGGTTTTTTTAAGACTATATGACCCTCGCTGACTATCGGTTGCTAGCTTATCGACCACTGCCTCTAGCTCGCCATAAATCTAAAATTAAATAATTTATTCATTATTCAATTATTTCAAATTTCCAGATTTTTTTTATTCATTTAAATTGAAAATGTTTGCAAACCTGTATCTTTTTTAACAATCCAAACAAATTTTTAGTAATTCTAATTACTGAAGAATTGATACAATAAATAGCTTCGAATTAAAATTCAGATTATGTTGACAGGATATTCTACTTGAGTACAATATAGATAGCTAAAGTAAACTTCACACTACGAGTAAAAAAAAATAAAATTTGACAAAAGTAAGGTGACCAACCGTCCTGATTTTGCCAGGACATGTTTAGGATTTTATTGTCTTATCCTGTTTTACACTTGGGTTCTGATTTGTCCCGATTTCAAGACGAACACACCTAAGTGTCCAGTTTTTTGAGATTTTCATTTGCAGCGAAAACAAAGTGTCTTTCAAGTTAAAGTTTTCATTTTGTCATCATTTCAATTGTGAAAAAACTCAACTAAAAGTAGAAATACCTACCTAAAAATCTTTTTTTAAATGTCTGCAGAGAATGAAAAAACTCTCAAAGCAATTCATGCAGAAAAAAAAATGAAATTAATACAAAACAATAGGTAAATTAATATATTATTATTAGATTAAATAGGGTCCAAAAATTGTTTTTAGTTTTTCCTGTCAATATTTTGCATCCTATATTCTTACTTAAATTTTTATACAGATGATACATTAGTGAGATCTATTTTTTGTGTTCTGGAATAAATTTATAATAATTATTTTTATTAATGTCATGATTTTGAATTTTCTAAAGTTGGTCACATTAGACAAAATACACTTTTTTGGCCTTTAATTGACAAATTATGAAAATGCGAAACTTGATAAAAACGAAACCATTTGAATTACATTTTCCTTCTCATTGTCAATTTTACGATTTTTACTACATAGTTATTTTTTATAATTTATTGTTATTATTACTTATTACTTATTATTTTGGAAGTGTATATCAAACGATGACGAAAAATAACGCAAATTTCAACAAAAAAAAGGATTTTTAGAATCATTTACCCCCAAAAATTTGGAAATATGTTCTGTTTTTCGCTTTTCTGATATTAAGGTCCATTTTATAAATGTGAAACACGGTGCTATACCGAGTGTTCCGTTTTTATTGTTACAAATTTACACAGGTGGTAAAATATTCAATTTTAAGACAAAAGATTCCTATAAACATAATTCGAAAAATACTATGTAAGAAGCTAAACCCCCTGAATGGGTTTTACCCAAATATTTCTGAAACCATATTATAGATAAAATTACAAAATTTGGTACAGCTGAGGGAGTATAGGGTAAAAAGTACCCTAACTATTTTGATTTATTCGATTATTATTGAATATTCTATCACACCTATTTAAATTTGTAACAATAACAACGGAATACCCCTATATATGTAAGAAAATAATTTTTTTATGTCGATAAAATATGTACATATAAAGTTGGTAACGCAAAAACATTTCGCTAAAAAAAAGCAACATCGTAACTCTGATTTTTTGATTAGAATAAATAATGACAATATTTCGAATGTTAGGTGTATTCACCTGTTAATTTCATTAAATACTTTTTTATCATTTTAAGTACTATTTATTTTATTTTTTTTTTCTAATTTTTCAGTTAGCAATTTCCCATCGGTATTTTTAGACCTAAAAAATCAATTTCAAAAGAAAAATAATGTTTGAATTTTTTTTTTCATTGAGATTATTTGATAAATACTTTCTCAAAAAATATGAAAATCAGCAAGCAAAAATAAATGAGTAACATTTTAAAGCGTAAGATGACTTAAAATAGTTGTTACTGTTGATAAAACTTTGATAAAACTAATTTGCGCAAACACTATTGTTTCGAAAATTGAAATACGTCACAAAATTTTCACTATTCCGAAAAAAATAAAATAAAAATTGTTAACACCTCGAATTTCGACGAGGAAACGTGGCATTTTCTCTAATTTCATTGAATTGCGACTTACTTTCGACGCCTCCGAATGGAAAACATGTTCGGCATTAAAAAGCGACTGCAAATTCGTCACATAAAACAATATCCTGGAATCATAAAGCGCTGGAAGCTCATCGTGCAATTCTGAATTTAACATTTCGTAAGTCCTTTTGGCTTCTTCTAACTGCTCGCGTCCTTTTGCAATTTTCGCATCGTCCCGTTTTTTCATATTTGTTTGTAGTGCTTGAAAACTGTGCCTTTGACTGTCGAAATCTACCAATTTCCTACCCCTCTTGTCGATTTTTTTCTACAATAAAAAAAATGGTTATTTGGACCTAACTCACAAATTCCAACTGACTCTCATTTCCGGGAATTGACCCTGGTAGGTGTTCAATGGAAGCAGCACTTGATCGGCCAATTTATGACTAAAATCTTGCCACAACATGTCGATTTGTTGTGTTTGGACATATAGAAGATCGTGACCAGTCCATTGACTCTCGTAGGTCTCACCGATAGCTTCGAGGAGTGATTTCGAAGCCGCTTGTGCAGCTGAAAAATCCCAAAAATGTACAAATTGAGAGAGAAAAACCTTCTCATTTACCTCGTATACACCTTATGTAGTTGTTGAATTCTTTCTGTATCCTATTGGCTGCGTTTTGCTGTCTTGTAAAATTCTGCAAATGCTCGTCGAAGATTTCATCCGCCGTCCGGTCGACCTTTC